CATCCCGGCCCCGCCCCATCCCGGCCCCGCCCCATCCCGGCCCCGCCCCATCCCGGCCCCGCCCCTGCGCTCCCCGCGGCCATGGCGGCCGTGGCGGCCCCGCGGGGCGGAGCGCGGCGGCTGCAGCTGACCCTGGCGCTGCTCAAGCCGGACGCCGTCGCCCATCCGCTCGTGCGCGAGGTGAGGCCGGGCCAGACCGCACCGGACCGGGCACGGCACGGCACGGCACAGCACAGCACAGCCGGCCTCGCCACGGTCCGCCATTCTAGCGCCGCCTCTTCCCGCAGGCCGTGCACGCCGCCATCCTCCGGCACCGGTTCCTCATTGTCCGCGCCAAGGAGCTGCGGTGCGGCCCGGAGCAGAGCCGCCGCTTCTACCGGGAGCACGCAGGTACGAGCGAGCCTCAGGGGCTGCCGGAGCGGGATGCTGACCCGGCTCGGTGCTCCCGGGCCGGTGCCGACTCGGTCCGTGTCTCTCCGCAGGGCGTTTCTTCTACCAGCGGCTGGTGGAGTTCATGGCCAGGTCCGTGCCGCGGGTGTGCGGGGCGTTGCGGGTGACCCGTGTGTGAGGGGCTCGCTGGGCTGTGCGGGGGGGAGTGCCGGGATCCTAGCCTGCTGTGACAGCGCTGGTACCGCGTGGGTGGCACCCCCCGAAGGTGGCGGAGTGGGTCACCAGTGTCACCGCCGTGGGCTCGATGCTGTGGGAGGGCTGTGCCCGTCCCCATGGCCTGGCAGGGCACGCCAGGGCCCGGCGTGGCAGCCCACGGCAGCTGTACTGTGCAGGTTTGTAAGGACGAATAAATAACTTATTTGTAACGAACTCTTTATAAACTTTTCTCCTGCTCTTCTTGGGCCCTTGCCGCAGTGGCCCCATGTGGGCTTATATCCTGGCCCATGAGAACGCTGTCCCTCTCTGGAGATCCCTGATGGGACCCACTAAAGTGTTCCGAGCCCGACACAGTGACCCGGACTCCATCCGAGGTGCCTACGGTCTCACAGACACTAGGAACACAACCCATGGCTCAGGTAGGCCTGGCATTCTTGGATGGTTCTTTGTCTGCCTTTGCTTTAGCTTGAGGGCTTCAAGTGAACAATTATTTCCCTTCTGCAGACCCTATGCACACCTGGCCAGGTGCAGCCTAGCCAGGTGCCTTTGGAGTCCAGCATGTGTTTGTGGTGGCAAACTGACCTCTCTCTCTCTCATTGCCTTTCCCTGTCTTTTGACAGACTCGCCTGCCTCAGCCAGCAGAGAAATTGCCTTTTTCTTCCCCGAGTTTGATGAGCAGCGCTGGTACGAGCAGGACGAGCCCCATCTGCGGCGTGGGCAGCTGTACTACAGCGCCGAGGAGCGTGTGCACCGCGTGCTCGGGCCACAGCAGGCAGAGGTGACCTGAGCTACCCCTGCAGGGCCCGGTGTGCTGGCCCAGAAGCATCTGTGGGCACTCTTGGGGCGCCAGATACAGAGCTGTGCTGTGTTTCAGGAAGCGGGGGAGAGGGAAAGCCTTGTGCACGCTGTGCTGCCCGAGATGAGGTTGTGCCACCTGGAAGCAGATTATTGGTGGGGTGCTGTAGGAAGAATTCCCCCAGCAGTGCTTATGCTGATAGTCTGGCCATGCAGCTCACTGGCCCCCTGAGCTTGTTTGGGTGTGAACAGGACAGGTGAATTGCCAAGGGCCAGGTGAAGGATGAGTTAGTTGCTTGTTCCAGATGGGATTGGCCTGGGTTTGCTGATAGGAAGCCTCAGGTTCTCCCTGCTGGCGGTTCCCACAGTGCCTTAGGGAGAAAAGAAGGAAAAAGAGCATGAAGAAAGGCATCAGCAGGGGAAGATGAACTGTTCTGTCCTTGCTCACTTGCAGCTGGGCTGGGAAATGAGGAGCTTTGTCAGTAGCTCTTCATGTGAGATCGCCTGGAGCCCTCAGTGCCCATGGCCTGAGTTCCCCGTCCTTGGGAAATGGGACGGACAAGGCCATTGAATTACCCGGATATGTAATGGAATGATGATAGGGTGGTGCAGGAGGGTTTAGTTGGGAGGTACAGAGCCAGGTCCTGGCAGGCTGACTGTGCTCTCTGTGATGCCATGTCAGATGTGTTCCTGGACGGGATTTCAGTTCATTTGTGCTGTCTCCCTACAGGCTCCTTACAGCGCTGCCATTTCAGTTGCAGTGCCTTGTACTGAGGGAATTTCCTTTGAGCAGTCCCAAAGGCTTAGGCTGGGGAAGGTGTGCTGTGCTGTGCTCGGGGCAGGAAAGCTGAGCTGAGATGTGCCAGTGCCCTGGTACATCACAGAGCCAAGGCAGGGACTCTCCAGGTGCTTCCAGAACTCCATGAGGTGTTGGGTGGTGATGATAATGCTCTGTGGTGAGAGCACTGCCCAGAGCTGCCATGGTTAAACTCATCTGTGTTCGTGTTCCCTCCTCCTCCTGCCTGGGATCAAATGGTCGCTGTTCTGTTCCAGGTACAGATCCAGGGTTCTGCAGGACATCACTGCTGTCCCTGTCCTCAGCAGTGTCCAGAGTGGATCAGCTCAGGATCCCGTGTGTCTTCACACAGGTCTGAGAGCTGCTGTCCCCAGTGCTGTTGATACTTCATTGATATTTTGTCGGTTGTTTTATTGATTCCTGGAGGTTTTGCTCAGATACGTGTGTTTTTCTTGTAACTATTAAACTTAACTATTTTTCACCTTTCTTCTTTTATGTTGCCCTTTCCTTTCTGGATATTCCTTGGGAGTATCATTAACTGGTAATTCCTGGCTCACGACATTTTTGAAGTTTTGGTGTTTTTCCTACCCGCTTGCAATGGTTACATTTGGGAAAGGGCCCTTCTGAACATTGCCAGAGAACTCTCCCCGCAGGGTTGTCACAGAATGACACCACCTCACAGTCACCTCGGTTCAGGTACCTGGTGGGTGTCTCCTGACATTGCCCTGGACCTGAGGCTGTACCTGAGCACAGGTGCTCAGACTGGGCAGCCCATTGCCCCAGACAGAGAATTTATTGTGCGAATCTGAAGCTGTCCACCAAACTCTATCAGAGACCTGAGGTTGAAACACTTGGTGTTTGATGCAGAGACAGTGTCAAAACTGATTTTTGGTCTCCAAGTCTTACGGAGTGTCGCAAGTAACTCTGCTTTGAGGGCTCTTATCAAAGTGGGTTTGTTTTGTTTTGGTTTGGTTTTTTTCCATTTTCTTTTTCCCTTCCTTGTAAATATGCAGTAAGTGATTTTTTGTTTTTCCAGTGGTGCTTGTCCCATCCCTGGCAGTTTCCTGGGCTGAGCTGGATGGGCCTAGATCAGGCTGGTGTAGTGGGTGACATCCCTGTTCATGGCAAGGGCATGGAGCTGGGTGAGCTTTATGGCCATTCCATGCTGATGGGCGTGTGTTACAGCAATAAATGAGTCTCCCAATCAAACTGAGACAGTGTGGCACCTCAGTACAGCTGTGAAGGGCAGTTTGGGATCCCTGGCTTTTCCTAGAAGCTGCAGGTCCCTGTGGGGTGGGTCTGCTGGGGAGCACAGGTCTGTGCACAGGGCTGGTCACTGCTGTGTGTCTGCAGCAGGTTCTGCCCCAGGTGCTGCTGCAAAACGTCCAGCCCAGGCAGCTGCAGACACCTCGAGTGTGGAACAGGGCCAGAGCCTCTCACAGGGACTGGTGAGCTTTGGGCCTGAACTTGACCTGCTCTTGGAAGAATTGAGCAGATTTGTGCCAGCACTGGAGGGGACGACACAGCTTGGCCTGTGAAGAAGGAAAGCAAAGACTTCAGAGGGAGATCAGTGCTGATCCCAGCCCAGGCCTGGCCTCAGTCCCTGCCATCACGGGCAGAACCCTCTCAGCTTGAGGAATTTCACTTGATTTATTGCTGTAACACAGATTTTTAGTTACTGATTCAGATAACAAGGAAAAGCCAAGATAATGATTAAAGAAACATCTGGGGAAACACCTTTCCTCTATTTTCCCAGGTTCAGCATCTTTTCTCCCCTCTTTCCCTGCAGGTTCTGCCCAGTCTCTCCCAGTCTCTGGGGAAGATGACACAGCACAGGGGGCTGGGCTGAGCTTTGCTTTTCTGCTTATTTCTTCTTCTCTCTTTCCTGTTCACTCACTCATGGCACACCCCAGGTGTGTACCTGCTCTGCCATGGTCCTGATTCCCAGCTGCCCAGCCTTTCCCTCACATCTGTGATGAAGAGTCAGGGGCCCTTTCAGGAGCCTCCAGCAGGCACAGAGGACACGAGCTGTCACAGAATCACAGGACACAGTTTGAGCCAGGCCAGAGCAGAAGCTGTGAGGGAGGGCACAGCTCCCAGGGACAGACACACCTGTGCCCAAAAGGGACACACAGACCATGTTCATGTTTCTCTGGTCCGTGTTGCAAACATGGCTTATCCTAAAAATGGAAACCTTTCCTTGGAAAAAACACAAATGTGGCTTTCCCATTGCTCTTTTCCCTGACCAGGATGAGATCCAGGGCCACAGCAACTGACAAAGGTCCCACAGCTCACATCCCTTCTGCCTTACCTGGGCTAGATTTGGTATTTCTGCTCTGGGGGTTGCTCCACAGGGAACAGGACACACTCCTGCAGACTCGCTGGCTGACAGGTGGGGCAGCCCAGATAGAGGACACCTTATATTTCACTATGCCCTTAAACCATCCCACCTTTCCCACCTGGAAGGGGATGGGAATCAAAATCATCTTGGGCATAAGACAAAACTTTCCCTCTGGCACTGCCAGTTTGCTCCCTGATATTTCTCTGGATGTGGATGTAGCAAGCTGAGGCAAATGAAGCTGATAACATGGGAAAGGCTGAAGCAGAGAGAGGCTGCCGTGATTTGACACTGGGCAAACACCAGGCACCCACAAAAGTCACTCACCCACCCTCCTCTGGCACAGCTGGGCAGAGGAAGGAAACAAATGGCATGAAGGGTTCATAAGTTGAGATAAAGACTGTGAGGAAACACTTCACACCATGGTCTCACCGTGGCCTGCAAAGGAATCTCAGCTCTGGCACCTGGAGTACCTCCTGCCTCCCCTTCTCCACTCACCCTGGTGTCTCCATGTTGTTTCCCTCACATATTCTCCTCCTCTTCCCTAGCTAGAAAAAAACCAACCCTGTGCCCACTTTGTTTTGATTTTCTTCTTAAATATGTGATTCACAGAGGCAAGAGGTTGATGTGTTAGTTTTGCATGGCCTGGTTTTTGGTAGCAGGAGGGCCACAGAGGTAGCTCCAGTGAGAAGCTGCTGGAAGCTTCCACCATGTCCAGCAGAGCCAGTCCCTGATGGCTCTGAGGATGGACAGGCTGCTGGCCAAGTCTGGGCCAGTTAGAGGTGATGGTAACAGCTCTGTGATAACAGATTTCAGAACAAAGTCAAAACAAAGGGAGGAGCAATTAAAATACCAGCTAGAGAAGAGGAGGAGGTGAGAACATGTGAGGGAAGCAACGTGGAGACATCAAGGTCAGTGAAGAAGGAGGGGCAGGAGCTGCTCCAGGCACCGAGCTGAGATTCCTCTGCAGGCCCTGGTGAGACCATGGGGAAGCAGCTGTGCCCCTGCAGCCACGGGGATCCAGGGGGGCTGCAGAGATCTATGGGGATGGAGAGATCCACCCACAGCCCACGGGGATCCAGGGGGCTGCAGAGATCTATGGGGATGGAGAGATCCACCCAGAGCCCACGGGGATCCAGGGGGATGCAGAGATGTGAGCAGGTGGATGCCTGGAGGAGGCTGTGATCCTCCACAGTGGCAGACCCAGTAGAGGGAGGGTCTCTGCTCTCAGGTTGGAGCAGCCTGGCCTTGGATGACTGCAGCCTGTGCAAGAGTGATCCACACTGCAGCAGTTTTGGGAGGACTGTGTGCCCATGTGAGAGGACCCACGCTGGAGAACTTCACAGAAAACTGTCTCGTGTGGGAGGGACCCCACAGTCTCACAGGGTAAAGACTCCTCTTCCAGAGTAGTGGAAGAAAATCTCAATGATGAATTGACCAAAACCCCTATGCCCTGTCGCCCTGTGCTGTTGGTGGGAAGGAGGGAGGGATTTGGGGAAATAAAAGGTGTTTTAAGGGCTTATTTTATTTCTCATTTTCCTCCTCTGACTCTGTTAGTAATAAATTCACTTTATACCTCTAAGTTGAAGCTGTTTTGCAGTTGGAGTATTTTCTCCCAGTCCTTAGCTCACAAAGCTTTTATTAAATTTTTCTCTCCTCTGCCCAGCTGTGGCAGGGGAGGGTACCTGAGTGATTTTTGTGGGTGCCTGGCATTTGGCTGGCGTCAAAGTACGGCAGAGGCCAAGGTTTGGAAGGCAGCAGCTTGCACTGTGCTCATTTCATTGCAGAAGCTTCACATAATTTGCTGGGAAGAGGCCGACTCTGCCATGGCACTGTCCCCGCCACCAGCCTTCATCCACCATCTCAATGTGCGTGATTGTGTCATCAGGATCAAAAGAGATCTCATCATCTCCATCTGCAAAAATTGTCAATAAAAGACAGTCACAATGCAACGAGAACCCCAGAGAGAGCTGGTTCACGTTCTTCCTCCCACCTTCTCCCAGGCAGGAGAAGACAGAACAAGTGCTCTGATAACCCCCAAGAGTTTACCTCAGCCAACCCCCATCCAATAGCACACAAAAAGCAGAGGAAGAGCAAAACCTCACAGATGAAAGATGAAGTTTCTCTCTTCTTATGCTGCTTTGGGCCAGGACAAGGCTAATTTTTTACAGTAGCTGGGAGGGGCCATGACCAAGACACAGAGGTTATTCTGTACCACCTCATGTCATTGCCAGAGGTGGGGGAAAGGGATTCTCGATTCCAAGGAAGAAGGAGTTTCTTCTAATTGAGAAAATGTGGTGGAAAGAGCCATCCAATATTGCCTATTGCTGGTTTTCCGTGTGAATACTTAATTTATTTTCTTATACCTTTTGTTATTAACATGGTTGCTGTTACTGTTCGCTTTCTTATTGCTGTTTCCAGTAAATTGTTCTTATATCAACCTCTGATCTTTGCCTTTTTGTGCCTCCAATTGGAGAGGAGAAGTGGCACATGTTTGTTTTTTTTTTTTTTTTTAAACTGGGAATACTAAACTGGAGAATACCATTCCTGTACCGCAACAATTCCCAAGCCAGGTCTCATTCTGCTTCCCAGAAGGAAGAAATTTAAACTACTAAACCACAGTTCTTTTCCCACGTCCCCGCGGCACAGCCCTGCCGGGGCACAGCCCTTCCCTGAGCCCCGAGGGCAGACCCACCTCCTTGGTAATCGTAGAGAGCCACGGCGCACACCCCGGGTCTCTGCCCCTCATTGGCACCGCCAGTGCTCCCTGCAGGACACAGCACAGACAGACAGACAGGACAGACAGATTGAAGCAGCCACACAGTGCTGGGCAGTGCCACCCTCCAGCCCAGCTCTGGGGAAGCACATCCAAACCCTGCCAGCAAGGAGAGTTGCACACAGCCCAAAGCAAGGTGTGACTTCCCTCCCCTTTTTCAAGGAGACAGTTGGGTCCTGATCTTTCATGCCCCTCTCTCAAGAAAAAGGCTGGGAATAACTCCAAGCTCTTCGCTTGCCATCTCCACCACCAGCCAAGCTGTGAAGGAAGCGCCACCAGCAGCCCATGCTGTTTGCTCCTGCCCTGGGCTGGGGCAGAGGCTACCTGCACTCCTCACACCAGGACACGCCACTAGCCATGTGAGGAATGGGC